TAGATTTGTGAGCTAATATAAACAAATTAATCATTTCTGGTTGTCCTTCATAGTTATCCCTTATTATGTCATGCTCCAAATAATGCCTTAATTGTAAGTATCTGTAGAAATCTTGATTTGTTAGCTCAAATTGTTCTTTGATCTCTTGAAAACCTTTGCATTTGTTATTCATCAATAATTCCCACCACATACATGGACCATGTTCCCATGTTTTAAATCGCTGATCATTCCTATTGGGTATAAAATCTGAATCGTATCCCACCCATCTTAACAACTTACTAAACTGTATCAAGTTATTCTTTTTAACTATCTCAAACCATACTTTCAAAGAAATTTGCACAAATTGATTAATTTTACCACTGACTTGATTGTATAGTTTGTTATCCGCAATTAGTGCTTGAACGGGTATTCCCTGTATTTTATTGCTTTCAATTTCTTTCCATCTTGCACAATATGATGGGTTACTCCAATTTAACAAATATTTAATTTGAGCAGCCTGGTAGTAACTTTTTAAACAGGGTAGAGCTAATCCTCCTTTTCCCTTAGACAATTGTAGTGTTCTGTATTTTATTCTCGGTATTTTCCCTTGCCAAATATACCTTGAGATAAATTTATCCCATTCATTAAATTCATTGTTTGTTATCTCCACTGGCAAGGTCTGAAAAAGGTACAATAATCTGGGAAGAATATTTATTTTTATCACATCAACTCTTGAAGCAACTGTCGTAAATGGTATTAAGTTCCACCTCTCTACATCTTGTTTTATTTTAAATAATAATGGCTCATAATTGGCTGCTTTCAGTTGATTCAAGTCTTTTGTCAGATTTACACCTAGATATTTTATTAATTTTAAATCCCAATTAATTTCAAAAGTAGTTTTTATATTGTCAGCTGGATTGTAATTAAAAGTAAGCACCTGCGTTTTTTGTACATTTATTTTGTAGCCCGATAATTGTCCAAATTTCTCAAATTCTGACATAATTGCTGGTAATGATGTATTAGGATTAGATAGATATATCAAAACATCATCTGCAAACAGTGCTAGCTTTTGCACCTTGCCCATCATATCTATACCCTGTATTTTCTCATTTTGTTTTATTGACTGGCTAAGGGGTTCAAGAAATATAGCAAACAAGAGGGTTTGATTACTTGATATTGTGATGCTTTTTGAAACGACATGAATGTTCCAAACACATCCTGAAAATTCATGTTTGTTTTCTTCAAATTGTCTGTTGAGCCCAAAGTCTCCATGAACAGACTTTTGTTTTACTGTCGAGAAGCAAAGACTAGAATCTTAACATAAAGTGTTTTGTCTGTTAAAAGACAATAAAAAGTCCAGTCTCTACTTAAACAGATTAAAAATATTATTGATAGAGAAATGATTTTTATATGAGATCACTGCTGCCTTAAATTATGTTCACCTACTGTTGGGTGTCAAAATGTTTAGACCGAGACTAGGACCGAGACTAGGACCGAGACTAGGACCGAGACTAGGACCGAGACTAGGACCGAGACTAGGACCGAGACTAGGACCGAGACTAGGACCGAGACTAGGACCGAGACTAGGACCGAGACGGGTTTAGTCCTGGGTTTAGTCCTGGGTTTAGTCCTGGGTTTAGTCCTGGGTTTAGTCCTGGGTTTAGTCCTGGGTTTAGTCCTGGGTTTAGTCCTGGGTTTAGTCCTGGGTTTAGTCCAAAATGTGAAAACAGGAAAATACCGCCGTGTAATCCATTTATTTCAACAAAGTAACTGTAATCCAATTACCACTCACTGAAACAGTAACTGTAACTGAATACAGTTACTCATAATTTGTACTCTGATTACTCCGGTACATGTAATCTGTTACTCCCCAACACTGGTTAAGTAGCGGGTCTTTAATTTTGACGTCTTTCTTTACACATTTTGCTGTTTTTCTCTATTGTCTTTTTCGCAGCTACTATATTTCTCTCTCTTTGTTTACTTCCGGGGGCAAGGTAAAAGGTCATATAACTTAATTTTATATTTTATTTGTGAAAATATTTACCTTAACAACTGTGATGTTCTTACACATCTAAAATACTTGAATTTAATTTTAATTTTATCACTTATTATCATGAAAACAAATATACTGACATTATCATCAGCTACATTGAGCTTTGGAGACGTAGACAAATGAATAATAAAAAGAGTTACGCAAACGTGTGTGAATGAAAAACATCAACGCCGGGTCTGTTTTTGATGATGCAACAACATTATAAACACGACTTAAAGTTCACAAGAGTCACTTTGGTGCAATACAAAACCCTTAATCAAACTTATAAATCGTGATTCAGTCGATCAATCAATCACAAAACATGTTGCAATCAAAAGTCCAATCGCTTAACTTAACGGTTCAGAATTACGTCCAGTTTTTCTAATCTACAGTGGTTTGAAAACAGCAAAAAAGTGAAATATTAGACTGTATTAAGCAGCTGTTTGAAATTATTGCGATTCATTTTGAGCCAAATAGTGATTAGGAGTTTTGTCATAATTGGGCGTCCTTACAAGTACGTCCACTGATAATAAAAAAAGAAAGGATGTTCATTTAATTTGGGGTATTAGAGTTCACAAATTTCACAGGAGTTTTTTTTTTTTTTGCGTAGCCCCCTAGCCAATATATTAAACTTACGTCATTTTATAATCATTGAAGTGTATTTTTGTTGTTTCATGTACAACTGAGGCTCTGTTAAACTAAATTATCTTTCCAAGAGTTTCAAAACGACAATAGCGATTCATTTATAACAAATTATATCCGTCGAGAGGTAAAATGTCCTCAAAATGTCAACAACAACAACAAGATGCTGAACAAATATTAGATTAAAAAAAATAGACGTCACGTGACTTACTTTGTTTTGGTCCCATTAGTTTTGCTATAAGCTCTTTATAAACAGTGTTGGGGAGTAACAGATTACATGTACCGGAGTAATCAGAGTACAAATTATGAGTAACTGTATTCGGTTACAGTTACTGTTTCAGTGAGTGGTAATTGGATTACAGTTACTTTCCTGAAATAAATGGATTACACGGCGGTATTTTCCCGTTTTCACAATTCGGGGTATTCAATTTTTTTTTTGTAATTCCACTCATTACCGGACACTAAACCAGGTCAAAACCAGGTCTAAAACCAGGACTAAAACCAGTGCTAAACCAGGTCTAAAACCAGGACTAAAACTAGGTCTAAACCAAGACTAAAACCAGGACTAAACCAGGACTAAACCAGGACTAAACCATGCTGTGCGGACAATGTCTCCTTCTCTTCTATCAATAATACTTTTAATACGGTTAAGTAAAGACTGGGCTTTTTTATTGTCTTTTAGCAGACTTATGTGAAGATATCCTCGTCTTTGCTTCTCTACAGCAAAGCAAGTAATCCAAAGTATTCAGATTATGTTACTCACTTGAAGTAATTTAATGGATTACGTCACAAACTACATTTTGGGCTATGTAATGGGTAATCTGTAAAAGTAACCTTCCCAAAACAGTTTATAAATCACACAAAGGGCAATTTATATGCTAATGTGAATTGTGATTACGTTTGTGCGAGTGTTTTTGTCATTATTTTCAGTGACAACAATGAAATCAATCGAATATAACAATGTTTGTTTTGTTTTTTTTGGTGCAACCCAATTTGTTGTTAGTGTCAGTGGAGTGGGGAACTAAAACACTAATAACGTTACATAACCACTTCTCTAGCGATCCTACGTATATTAAACCTGCCTCTCCACTACGTAAATCCGTCCACAAATTACACAAATGTTCTTAAATTCATCACAAACTTGGCAAACAAACCCAAAATTGTCAATAAGGCTCGGCTAACTCGCTACTGAAAGTGACTGGGAAAACTCTCTGCCCGATTTGTAACACTCCGGCCGTCTGCCATATTGGTCACGGAAAATCCACTTGGACAAACGTCAACAAATCGCCCGTCGTGACCATTTATAATCACTAGAAATGATCTGTTTTTACGAATATGTTTGCTTTACAGATAGTAGAACAATAAAGCAGTGTTGTTATGGCTTGTTAAGAGAGATAAGTAAGGAAAAGACGTCAAAATGTGCGTCGATTTCCGTAAATTTCAGTCTAGATTGATTATAGAGCTAAAATTTGGCAATATTTTCGCATTAACTATTTCACAACTCTTCGTTTTAATGCTGACAAATCATTGGAATATGATTTTGAAACGTTTTGATTGTTAATTTAGCCCAAAACGGCGGCCAACGGAGTGATACAAATCGGGCAGCGACGGGCCGTTTAGCTAGCGCCGCGCTGCTACTTCCTGCCTAGCCCCTCAGTCAGCTGGTGAATCAAACGTCCGCGTAGGGTCATTTATCGGCTTAATCTGGACTAAATGGCGTGACACGGAGGACCTAACGGCGCAAAACCTTAACCGTGTCGACGTTCGGGCTGGTAAATGTTAAAAATGATCGTTAAACCGCGTAACTACGCAACATGGAGCCAGCAGTTAGCGGCTTCTCTACGTGCAGTGCGGGGAGTCTCTCTAAATACCAGGCATTTCGATCGGGCGAGCATGGGTTAGAGAATCTTGGGCATTTTTTTTTTTTGGTTGATAAATATGAGTTTAATGGTCGAAATACAAACGGTTGGGATCCAGTATAAGATTTGGCACGTGATTGTTTAACGATGATGATTCACAGCTGGTTTTAATGATCAATTTAATGAGTTTTGAACAGAAATTGTGGCTGTAACAGATTTGGCGCAGTTTCACCACATATTAAGTCACAGTGATTCGGATTTAACCTAAGCACAACTTAAAATGACATTATTAGCAGTATGAACGCGTTTATTTTAGTTGTGAAAGCCGATTTTGTGAATCAAGACCCTCCCGGATTGAAACGCCCTGGATTTAGCAAGTCCCCCCTTTAGCCATACACGTGGGCTTCGGTCTCCTACGCAGCCGCTGGAGCCTCACGATTACCGACACGATCTGCTCCGAAAAACAACAAAACCCCGACGTTTCTCACCTCCGACTGTTTCCTGATGTTGTTGTCCGGGCTCATCAAATTACCCAGCAAGATGTAGAACTGCTGCTGCTCCGCCATTGTAGTCAAGATACGAAAGAAACAGACCGGGTGGGGGAAAAAAGGAGGGCCGAAAAGACTGAGCCCGGGTCGGCTACTTTGCACCACTCGCTTCGGTCACACTCGCGGCTCCCCGGGTCCCGATTGGTCGCGTTTATCGGCTTTACCGAGCGCCCATTCGTCCGAAACGTGCAGGAGGACGGGGCTTGGAGCGCTCAGGCGGATCTGCGCGCTCCGATTGGGTCAGAAAGGCGCAGAAAGTGAGTGCAAAGCGAGGGTTGGTCAGCGGTAAAAAAGGGAAAACGCGGGAAATTGCTATGCATGTTGCGCGTGTTTTTGCACAAGCGGCAGGGGGATGGAGGCATGGGTGGGTCTGTGCACAATAACAATGCAGAAAAGCAAACAAAAAACTACCATTTTCTTAGTTTTTGTGAATAAATACACTTTACAAATCAAGATAATGCAACGAATAATTAATAAAAATTAATTAGAATGTGTAATTTGAATGCAAAGGCTTATTTCTACACAATAACAATGCAGAAAAGCAAACAAAAACTACCATTTTCATTGCTTTTGTCAGTGAATAGACTTTGCAAACCAAGATAATGCAATGAATAATGAATAAAAATAAATTAGAATGTGTAATTTGGATGTATGGGCGCATCTACACAATAACAATGCAGAAAAGCAACCAAAAAACATAATCTTCTTTGCAATTGTCAACAAATACACTTTACAAACCAAGATAATGGAATGAATTATTAATAAATAATAAACTACAGTGTATAGTTTGGATGCACAGGTGGATTTCTACACAATAACAATGCAGAAAAGCAAACAAAAACTACCATTTTTATTGCTTTTATCAACGAATACACTTTACAAATCAACATAATGAAATGAATAATGAATAAAAATAAAAGAGAATGAATACTTTGGATGTATAGTTTGGATGCATGAGGGTCTCTACACAATAACAATGCAGAAAAGCAAATAAAAACTAACCATCTTCATTGCAATTGTCAGTGAAAACACTTTACAAACCAAAATAATGGAATGAATTATTAATAAAAATAAACTAGTGTATAGTTTGGATCCACAGGTGGATTTCTACACAATAACAATGCAGAAAAGCAAACAAAAACTACCATTTTCATAGCTTTTGTCAGTGAATACACTTTGCAAACCAAAATAATTAGATGAATTATTAATGAAAATAAACTAGAATGTATAATTTGGATGCATGGGCGCCTCTACACAATAACAATGCAGAAAAGTGAACAAAAACTGCCATCTTCTTTCCTTTTGTCAGTGAACACACTTTACAAACCAAGATAGATGCAATGTGCAATGAATAATTAATAAAAAAGAAACTAGAATTTATAGTTTGGGTGCCTGGGTGGGTCCCTACACAATAACAGTGCAGAAAATGAAGCAAAAACTACATTTTCTTCCCCCTTTGTGAATAAATACACTTTATAAACCAAGATAATGAAATGAATTATTAATAAAAATAAACTACAGTGTATAGTTTGGATGCACAGGTGGTTTTTTAAACAATAAAATGCACAAAATCAAGCAAAAACACAATTTTCATTGCTTTTGTCAACGAATACACTTTACAAACTAACATAATGAAATGAAGTATTAATAAAAATAAACTAGAATGTATAATTTGGATACATGGGTGGGTCTCTACACAATAACAATGCAGAAAAGTGAACAAAAACTGCCATCTTCTTTCAATTTGTCAGTGAATACACTTAACAAACCAAGATAAAGTAATGAATAATTAATCAAAACAAACTATAATGTATAATTTGGATGCAGGGGCAGGTCTCTGCACAATGACAATGCAGAAAAACAAGTAAAAACTACCATTTTCATTGCAATTGTCAGTGAATAGACTTTACAAAACAAGATAATCAAATGAATAATTAATAAAAATAAACTAGAATATACAGTTTAGATGCCTGGGTGGGTCTTTGTGCACAATAACAATGCAGAAATTTGTGTATTCACAAAGCAGGAAAACTAAAAATTGCAATGCCTTCATCAAATTGTTTCTATTGGCAATAAAGAATCATCTTAAATTGTCAAATGAATGCACATACCAGCCAAAATAATACAAAGCATATCAAATTAAATACAGTAGTAAGTAGAAATGTAAATGGGACAAACAGGCTACAAGTATATATCTGAACAAAAATAAAAATGTAAAATATGGACTAAAACAATTTGGTTATGTTCAAATGTTCCAACATAGTCAGAATATCACAAAATAATGTACAAAATCCACTCCAGTTGAAGCACATCTTCTTTCATTTTTCACATAATATATTTTTGGTAGTTCAATTCGAGCATTCGACAATAAAACAAAAGGCTTACTTAAAAAAAAGGTTATCTTGCAGTGCATTTTGTAATAGTTAATGTATAAAATAAACTTTTTGTTCCTCAATACGTCACTTCTATTTTATTTGTCATACTCTGATTCGACACCAGAGGGCGCCAAAGCCTAAGTTTTACCTCCTTCACTCTTTTCCCACGATGTTTTTTGTCGTTTTATTTTACACTTTAGTATTTTATAACATATTCTACTCAACTCGTCTTGTTTTTGTAAACGGTTTGGCCATATTACAAACTTTTATGTCAGTTATTTTCTCATAATTTTCTCCAAACGTTCCTATAAACTGTATAAAATAAATAAAAATACAAGGACATTTTATTTAAGTAATTATGTGGAGTTATACAAGGACAGACATTAATTTTGAAAGCAACACAAATGGATTTTAATTTTAGGATTCTAATATGTACAGGAAATTTTGTAATCACTTAAAGGCGCACTGTGTAACTTTTCTGGCGGAGCATCCATCACCTGCTTCTCTCCACGGTGATATTGCCCGGAATATTCCACAGTACTCCACAGTATTCCACATGACTTGGACACATACATTGCAGTATATTACAATAACAGAGAGTAAAAAATATACAAAAAATATGATAAAACTTCAAAATAAGCAGCAATTAAAACAGCAAGAGAAATGTATGTACAAATAAGTAATAGTGAGTAGTAGAATAAACAGTAAATTGTAAAATGTTTGTTTTTCTAGGTATTTTTGAGCTATAAAACCACCTGTAACTGAATAAATGTAAAGTAGAGCTGTTTAATATCACACTGGAAAAATCATCACACAGATTGTTCCACACACTAACCCCTCGAACAGAAATACAATCGCTTTTTTTTTTTTTTTCCCCTTAGTTTTTATATCGTCATGTTTTTAAAGATGAAGGTTTTTTATTATTTTTATTTTTAATTTTTCATTTATGGTCGTAGAAGCTAATAATAATTTTAACAAAGGCACAAAAGTTTATCTTTTTTTTTGTATTTGTTGTGGTGTTGTGGGTGTTGCTTTATGTATTTGTCTTTGTTTTATGCTGAATATTGTAATTGTTAAATGTTGATTGTTGTTTTATTTTCTAAATGTTGTATTCGGTTGTCCTTAATACAATTTTTTTTTTTAAAGTTGATAATTTATGATCGTACAAAATAAACCATAGTGAGAATGAAAAAATGTAAGGATTTTTTTTTTTTTTTTTTTTTTTTTGTTTATGGTCGTACAAACTAATAATAATGACAAAGAAGTTTAAAAAAATTACTGTTTATGATCGTATCAAAATAAAAACGGAGAAATAAACTGATAGAAAAATATATAATTAATACAAAAATAAGATAAATATTCTTGAGTTTTGAATTAGTACTTGTTTTTCCTTGTTTCCAGCGCCCTCTATCGGCCTCCCCGGGTACTGCACCGTCCCACAGTCCACCCGGGTCCGCGGTCCAGACTCGGGTCCAGACTCGGTCCTGATCCGCCATAGTCCACCTCGTCTCCGCTTCCACCTGCAAAAAAACGACTTTAAACCCTCACCAGAACCGGACCTACACGAACCCCACCATGTCACGGATGTAGAAGGTAAGATTTTCCCGAAACACTTTTAAGTTTTGCACGTCAAATTACGCACGGATTAACTTTTATCGCGTCTCAAATGGTTTACTTTTGCGTTATAGCTGTTTTAAACTACACTGGCACACGTTTTGAGTATTTTTTGCATTCATTTAAGCTTAATTTTGCTTAAAAGTTGCGACAAAATGCGTTAAAAATCAAAATAATACCTCAAACGGAGCGGAGTTGGAGCTTCGTAAGGTGCACAGTGAAGCATGTGGCTTTATGCTAATTAGAAGAATACATCTATGCTAGCACTTTTTTTTCCCAATAATACGATAATTATTACCACTTTTTATATTAAAATCCCATGCAACTGATGTAAAACTCTTATTTCACCATGTTTAAATGAGTATAAATGCATGTTATTGTACAGTATCGTGTAATAAAGTTATATTTAGTGGAATTCTTTAATCCTAGTTTGACCCAGTTTAGACCTTTTTACTGTTAGCTCATTGCAACACCTGTTTTAACACAATTTTAGTATTAATTACGTATTTTCTGTGTGGAATAGGCCGGCTTTCTATTAAAATTGTGGTTTATTTAGTTTGGATATAGTTAGAACTTGGTTTAGTCCTGGTTTAGTCCCTGTTTTAGACCATTTATGGACTACAATGAGTTAAATCTAAAGGTTAAAAGTTAATTTTGGACCCTTATTTCTTTGTACGAGGTAGTAATTGTAATAATAATACATGTTTTGTGCTTATTTATCCTTTTTTTTTTCATAGTCTGACCTGGGGTTGTTAAATAATATCAATAAATTTGCAGTTGTCAAAAGAAATATCAGATACTAATCGATACTAAAACTAGTACTGAAACTAGATTCTTATTTTTCATCGCAGATATCGATTCTAAAACAGAAATGATGCTTTCCTGAATGTGTAGAACGATCTTGAGCTGTGTCAGAGCAAGTATAAGAGCACAGAGACTAGTGCATGACCATGGACCTGGTTTAGTTCTGGTTTAGACCTGGTTTGGACCTGGATTAGTCCTGCTTTAGACCTGGTTTAGACCTGGTTTAGACCTGGTTTAGACCTGGTTTAGACCTGGATTAGACCTGGATTAGTCCTGGTTTACACTTGGTTTAGACCTGGATTAGTCTTGGTTTATATCTGGTTTAGACCTGGTTTGGACCTGGTTTAGACCTGGTTTAGACCTGGTTTAGACCTGGTTTAGACCTGATTTAGACCTGGTTATCTTTGGTTTAGGCCTG